GACATTTCTTTAATTACTGGTATTTAGTCAGTTTATGTTGAAATTCAGTCATTACACTGACATTCCATCAATTTAATGTGGTTCAAACTATGTATTGTGTGAATAATAACGAACCTTTTCACCATTTTGCTGCTTCTCTGTAGTTGATAATCAATGTGTTTCTTAGAACTTTTCAAAAATTACATATTAAAAGTAATTATATATTAGAAATTATACCAAATATATGCCAAAATTGTATACTAAAAGTAAAATCTTCATAAAAAGTTGATTTTATTCAAATTATGGCCTATGATGACTTTAATATTTTCTCATTTACACAAAGTATATTAGTTTTAAAGAATTTTACTAAAATGTATAATGAAGTATTATTTATTGGCTAGTTGTTTTTTTTTTAATTCATTCATCCATTTCTTTATGAGGTACTGAGGATTGAGCTTAGGATCTGCTAAATGCTAGGCAAGCACTCTACCAAGGAGTTACATCCCCGGGTCATTGTTGAGAAAGCCTAATGACCAATGTATCATGTTGGTGTTGGGAGAAATGATTGTGAAAATGTAGATTGGAATTTTACCATAAATTTCACCAATAACGAACAAAAATCAACAAAGATTGTTCCTAATATTTATGTTTAAATTAGCTGGAAGCTGTATTTCAAATCTCAGTGGAATTAGTTTCATAATGCCTGAGGTTTTACATGGCAGAAAATTAAATAATAGCTTATCTGCAAGCATTTCTACAGGGATAACAAACTCAAGGGCCAGGCTGAGGAAGAGTCCCTGTGTCTTAGTTCCTTGATGGTCTGCATGCTGTTCCAGGTCTGTCCATTTCTTTATTTACAAGATTTCTCAGATAAAGCTTATCTGTGCAAATATTCTGAGAATGTTTTTCTTGTGGAAACTAGTAAAGAAAAAATCCCACAGCTTCTCATGATTAGCAACACAGGTTCTTCCCCTTCTAATCAGTAGTTTCTGCATTTTCTTGAGTCTCTCACAATTACCACTAAGCAAACACTGCCTATTAATGTCTGCTCTCAGGCTTTGCTAGAGAGACTTTGAAAACCTCCAATTGTCTAAGTTACCTTTAAAACCCAGTCAAGGGGTTTTAGTTCTATCCTGACTCCCATCAATAGAAATGAAACAAAACACCACCAATATGATGATTCTTCATGTCAATTAAATTGTATTGACTAGAAGACACTTCTTTGCTTGGAAAGGATGAAAGCTTAATAAAAAGTAATTATTCAGTTCCTAAGTACATTAGACCTTGTAATCTAAATATACATTAACTGGACTTTCTCCAAAGCACAGCCTCAGTAAGGACCTGGGGATCTATTTGGCAGGTGTTTCTAGGTAGAAAAAAATAAAAGCATGGGAAGGTGGAGATGCTAAACTAGGGAAAATCAGAGTAAGAATAGACATTTGCACATGAACGTAAGTAGAGCCTCAATCCCAGTGTTCTGGAGGCTGAGGCAGTAGGATCTCTATTTTAAAATAACATGGGTTACATAGTAAGATCCTGCATCAGAAGGCCACAACTGTTCAAGTTTTAAAGAATAAGAGACTGCAGAGTGTAGGATAGGGCTCCTATATGGAACTCATCAACCCACGGCTCAGGGACCACTGGGGTGGGGGGGGCTGAAGATTGTAAGAGCCAGGGCTGGTTCATGAACACAGGGAGGCAGAGGCTTCTAGGCCACTGGACGCTTGCACATGTGAATTTGTGGCAATGGTGGCATCAAGCATAGGACCCATGTTAACTCATTTAAACAAGGACCCAAAGGAGAGGAGAGAAATAGGTGGCAGGCTGTATTAGCCTGAGAACTATTGGAGACTGCTGCTGGGTGAGGGAGGGTATGACTTACATACAATCTCTAGATGTGCTGACTAGACTCCCATGGATGAATTTATACCGAAGGACATGTGGGTACAAATGCCTGAATGGATAGGACCTAACATGCATAGCAGAATACATGAGGTCTGGTGGGGGTTGGGGGAGGCATGGATGGGGAAGGAGGTCTAAATTTGATTAAGAAATGTATAAAATTACAAATGCTCAATAAAAAATTTACGTAAAAGAAAAGAAAAACACATCAATTCTGGGAGTAGCCAGGGGTTCATGTAGGACATTTGAAGAGGGGTTAGAAAGTCCTTTCAGAATTATCTTTGCAAATAGGAGACACTGGAGCATCTACACACGAGAACACTCCCACTGACTCAGTACTTTGGTGTGTGCTTCAGTTTATAAATTTTGAATAAGAAAAAGGGGTGGACAATTGGCTTGGCCAGTGGAGGCGGGTAGAGGTGGTAAAAGATAATGTGGCATTAGACAATAGATTACGTGGATGTCCTGTTAAAGAAGACTCTTGTGGCCGAAAAAGTAGTTTGTGTAATTTCTATTTACTGTCTAAATTTAGCCCACCAAAATTTCCTTCAAATGCTTTCCCTGGTTCTATTCTCACAGGATTGTCTCTGCTGTCTATAAATCACAGTGAAAGACCTAGAGGTAAATGCTTTCTCTTCCACATTCTTTTGACATTCTACTATGGCCAACCTGAGAGAAGCTGAGGTTTTAGTGTTCTCTTAGCTTTCCAGTAGATGGTTCCTTGGGCTCATTTGGGGCTGAGAACCCATTGTGATTTGTATCTTCCAAGTTCATCCCTCAGCCAGTCTTACTTTCAGCACATTCCCTCTGTAGTACGTTGTGTGCACAGTTATGTGTACGTGTATGCACAGTTTTATGTGCATGTGGAAAACTGAGTTTAGAAATTCCTAGTGATAATTGCCTATATATTATCTTTGAATCTGTCATAATGCTCAAGGTTCACAATTAGCTTTGCTGCTTTGAGTTAAACTACATTTTCTTGGGCTCTATGGAAAATTTCCAACAAAGGAGTTGGGGTGAAGCTCCTTGGCAAAGCACATGTCTAGGATACATGAGGTCCTTGGATCCATCCTCAACACTACAGATAAATAGGCTGAGCAGGGGTGGGGATAAGATTGTAAAATGTATTAGGAACCGTTTTACTGATAATTATAAAAATTTAAACTATGACAGTGAAGAGGGCTGGGCAATTTAACTCAGTGATAGAGAATTTGCCTGGTGTGTGCAAAGCACTGGGTTTGAGCTCCAATGTGGAAAATAAGATAGTGAAGAAAAAAAGTTCCCAGTCTGAAACAAACAAATAGTGGATTTTTCCAAGTGGGAAAACATTGAGTGTTGACAAGATAATGTCCAGGCTATAACTACCCATAAATATCTGACATTCTCTATGGCAAAAATGAACAAGAACGTGTGTGAGGCTTGTGGTTGCAGTTAGTGCTGAGGGAAGGAGGCATGCTCTTCCATTGGCTTACCCGTTCTCTGCACCTGTTCTCGGCACCAAACTTCAATCTTTGGATGATCCTCTGGATTTGGGAAAACAAGCACTAAGTTGATACTACTTAGAAGATCCAAGCAGAATGCTGATTCAAGAAAAGGAAACTCATTTTGTTCTGCAAATACATACTTCTGAGGTTGGAAAGATGGCTCAGAGGTTAAGACCACTGGTTACTCTTCCAGAGGACCTGGGTTTGATTCCCAGCACTCACATGGCAACTAACAATTGTTGTAACTCCAATAACTCTTCTGGCTTCCTCAGGCTTTGCAGGATACATCTGTACTTGCAATACATGTAGGCCAAACACTCATACACTTAAAAATAAATTAAACAATTTAAAAAATATCTACTTTCTCCAATGTATAGAGCAAAAGTGCTTCCACATTGTCTTTTACCCATATGTAGACCAGTAAGTGATGAGGGTATGTTATATAGCTCTTTACTTGGAAGCACCTACCTCTTTGAAAAATCTAATGGATACCTGGAGACCATTGAGCATTCTCTGCTTCCCAGCTCTCTGGGTCAGGACATTAGGAGAAACAACAGTGACTATTGCCCTTTCCCTTGTAACTCTGTGTATGAGCAATGACCAGGCCATCTCTGAAAACACAAAGGAAATAAGACTAGCACAGGATCCAAGATTGATGATTTTCCAGTACAGCATAGCATTTTATTAGCCTATAAAATTTACGTACTTAATATATTTGATTAAGCAGTAGTGAAATCAGAAATTAAGTATGGACCAGACTTTCCAAAATTACAATTTAAAAACTTTTTTTCTTAAGAAAGTTCATATAAAAGTTAAATGATTGTCTTCATATTACATAGCTACTGGTAGAGCTAAGCCTAGAAATAGGTGTGTGGCTTCTAATTATTCTGGGAAGCTTGAAGGCAATCTACTACTTCCAGGTTGAATAAGTGGACAGTGCTGTCTCTGTATAGAGTTCCTAGTGACAGTAGAAATGGACTAAGGATAAAGTGATGGATCCTCTGTCTTGGCTTCATAGTCCTCCAAGCCATTGTTTAGATCTGAGACAAACAAACGGTGTTTCTAGGAAGGGTAGTGTATCATGCACACTGTTCAGAACTGTGGCCATGTAGTGTTACATGCTTCTTCATATATGCTTTACAGACAACCGGCACCAGTGTGGATGAGGTTTCCCCTGCCACTGGAATGCCTTGAGTGAACTCTACAGTTAATGTCAGTACAGCGTGCTCTGGTAAGGATGAAAGGAGAGTTAAGCCAGATGAACTCTAGCATATGATGGGCGGGGCTCTCAGCAGTCTCTGTTTCAGTGAATTTCTTTCTCCAGGGGCATTTCAATTCAATTTTGTCCCTTAAAAGTTGTAGGACTATCCTACTCTGGGAGAGTAAACAACTGCCTCATTAAAAATCTCATCATTTTATGTATCCTAACACTAATAAAAAGCTTTATTGGAATTGAATAGTTAAATGCAAATTTCTTTGGACTTGGCCTCTATTGATTTATTTGACGTCTGCTACATTGAATATAAAAGCACAATTTGGCAAGTCAGATGGCAAGTCAGTTCGATTTGGCAGACTGCTTACTCTTCTTGTAAATAAACGGTATCCAACAAAAATCCACTCTAAAGTTACAGGGTTCAGCTCTCAGTAAGTTGAAAGGAGATCCTGCCTAAGAGGACTAGAAGAGGCTGATTGGCTGCGGCTGGTAGTCAGGGTACATAAAAGGCTGCTGTAGAGCACCTGGGAACGTTGATGCCATTACCTACCTAGGAACCTGAGTGCTCCTCAGTGCCTCTGTACCATGAGCGGGTGCCCGTTTTTAGGAAACAGTGTGGGGTGAGTGTTTTCCTCTTGTAACCAGTGGGAGAATCTTCAGTCTTCTGAATGTGATCATTTTAATTTCTGGATTTAAAGAGCACTGAAACCTGTCACTCACCTTTCCTCTCCTCACTAATAAAACAAACAAAATCAGCAAAAATATTTCATTGCCCGTATTACTAGTTACTTGTGTTTTTTCAAGCTCTATTGTTTGATTTCATTTTTTTTACTTCAACAGCAGATATACTTTGAAAACATTATCCATAGACGACAGTGAAGAAGACAAAGCTCAAAATGGTGTGAACAGAGCCAGCAAAGGGGGGCTGATCTATGGGAACTACTTGCAGGTATGCGTCAGGTCTTTACTGAAGTTTGCTGCTATTGTTAGTCACTGAATCTGGCTACATGACCTCATTCTTTCTTTTTTCTAAATCATCAAGAGTTTTCTGAACCCAATTATGACCCTATTCATACATATTTACGCTTTTTCAAATTTGCTAGAGCAAGTCAAGAGGTGCAAATGCCGTCAGGGCAGAGAGCTCAGAATCTGCACAGAAGAGGGTGGAAGATAAAATGCAGTATAGACAACAGGCAAGCATTGTGCAGAATAGATAAAGATGTGGTCAGTACATCTCAGCCTAGATGACTGCAGATACTCTCTCCTTTCAATCGCTTATCACAAAGTAGAGCTGTTAAAGGCACACACGACTTTCTTGAAATCAGTAGTAAATACAAGAGAGCTACCAGTGAAATACTTAGATGTTATAATAGGTGGCTTTCAATCTGTCTATTTTATTTTTTAAGAAGGAATATGTTTAAGACCCTTGATACCTTTTTCCATAGGCTTCTGAGGATGAGTTGATATTGAATGTCAAGGGCTTCTGGGGGCTCTTTATGAGACAACAGGAAAAAGATTGCAGAATTCCAACTAGCCAAGCAAGTACTCAGGCTTTCAGGTTCCTGGTTTCAGTGACAAACTATTTGCTATGGTAACCTTGCTGCACTGAGTATCTCTAAATCAAATAGAAGTTACAAACTAAAAACAAAAAGTACAAAGTTAACTTATTCCCTGCGAGGTTATTCATTTGTTGTTTAAAAGAAGACAGATTGGTTTATGAGAATTTGAAAGTTTGGCGTTTTTCCAGAACTGTAATCTACTTCTTACGAATGTTGGCTTAAAAATACAAGATCTGCAATCTCAGAATCATTCTTCTCATTTTCTCATTTATAGTTGGAAAAGATTTTGAATGCACAAGAACTTCAAAGTGAAATAAAAGGCAATAAAATCCACGATGAACACCTTTTTATCATAACTCATCAAGGTAAGTCGTCAAGGGCCGGAGACTAGCTATTTGACTTATCACACTAAGATTGCTGTTGTCCTTTGTTTGTAGATGGTGAAAGATTGAGGAACGGTCTTCATTACAACACTTGACAGTGTTCTGTGTCATAAAATCTCACAGGACACTCTGGGCTTTCTAGCAGTAATCTTTGTGTTCCTTTACTGGTAATTAGATTGCATAGGACTCCAGGTTTGTCCTTAATTCCAGAGAGTCCTTTGGTATCTTGGTCTTTTACATAGAATTTGTAAGCTAAGATGGCACTATTTCTTCACTTGTAGCATTAAAAAACTTTAAGGAAATAAATTATTTAGTCAAGTGTGATGGCCCATGCCTTTCATCCCAGCACTCAGGAGGCAGAGGTGAGTGAATCTTTGTGAGACTGAGACCAGCCTGGTCTATATAATGGGTTCTAGGCCAACTGGGTCTGTAAGAAGAAAAGAATCATTTGAATTTATTGTAAATATATAGAATTTCATTAAAATATGAAATAATTTCCAGTTTTCAAATTTCTAAGCAGTGGTATATAGTTTAGGAATTTGTGTCTTTAGGATTTTAAAACCCTTGTACTCTGATATTATATGCAAGTTTTCATACATATATGTATCTTAATTAGGACCATAACCTAAAACATTAAGAACTCTTGCTCTGTGGTTATCAGGGCCAAATTACAGTCCTATCTGACCAGAGACCAGAAGCTCATACAGGTTCTTGCTCCAAGTGCACATACCTTCTTCTGTTCAAGTTCTTGGTATCTTTTTTCCAAATGAGTTCTCACTTCCCTAAATGGTTAAAATGACAGACTCCTTTTAGTGAAGAACTCAAAGACAGAAAAGAGTTGCCTTATTGTGTTAACTTGTTTGTTTGCTTGCTTTTTTATTTTGTTCTGTTTGCCCATGCATTTTTATTGGTGGCTTTTACTAAGCAAAATCAATGGGAGTGGAATCCTGGAATATAAGCAGAAATTTAAAATTCAAAGATGATTTGAGTCCTATCTCTACCATTATGAATTATATGACTTTAGCCAAGTTGATTAGGTCTCAGGCCTCATTCAGAAAATGAAGGATGTTATTGTATGTTCCCACTCACAGCTTCCATGAACGTGAAATGGTATAATGTGTATTAAACACTTAAAGTATAACATACAATTAACTTGAAATAATTGGTGTCCAAGGTGACTTGATAGGGACACTTTCCTTATATTCTTCAGTTACAGCAAGTAATGGGATGATCCATATAAGGTTAAACTTAAAAAGAAACACATAACCTGATTAACAAATATTTGATTTACCTTTTATCCCAACATAAAAATTAGATTTCCCAAAGTCTTGGACATAACTTAAAATTATACCAGAGTTTCCTAATTATCACAGAAGCATAGCTTTATCCACATGATAAAACCACAAGAGATGTACCAGAGACATCAGCTTGTTGTCCTTCAATGCTCATCTCATTATTACAGACACCCAATGTCAAGTACTGTGCCACTCACTGGAAGAAAACAGTAGCTGAGTATGATGAAAATCCTCAGTTAGAGAGCTTTACAATTATCTGAAGGACAAGCTAAGGAAAAGAACTATTTTTACTTGCCAAGAACAGTTCAGTAATGCAGTGAGTCAAAACGTCTTATCATGTCTGCAATGCTGCTACAAATCATCAGACTTTGAAGCACAGGCTTCCACTTAGAGGACGATAGCTATGGGGCCACTGTGCAAAAAGCGTACTAGCCGATATTGAGGAAAATTTGTGTGTTTTAAAAAAATCCCATTTGACATTTTTAGTAACTCGAGATGAAGTGATCCTAACTGCTTCTTCTACTATGCTAGGTGCTAGGAGTGTTCAATGTCAGATGTATTGTTTGGTGGCCCCTATGAAATGGAAAGCAAACTTACATCCTTCAACAGAAATGCTCTGATAGCATTCAGGCTCAGAGAGTGCCTCTGGTCTCAAGTGGGTGTTCTCTGTGATGATGCAATGAGTGAGACTGAATCACTTACAATGTAGAGACCTCTGGGAATTAGTAACCTGGTTAACATGAAGCTTTGCTGTTACTGTTTAATCTCCATCACCTGACTGCTTTCTCATTTGTCTTTGGCCCACAAGAATTTAGAATTTTACAAATAAAGAACAATGAAAACCAAAACAAACTCCAGGACCCCAAAACAAACATCCAAGTTTTCAGATATAAAACCTTACATTCTTTCATGTATGATGTGATAATTAATCTCTATACTTTATAGTTGAAATTGAGTACATCAGCTTCTACCTCAATGCCCAGATTCCATAAAGGAAGTAGGAATGGGTTGTATACTGTATCCTAAAAGATCTAAACTACAGGAGGAATATAATAATGAATATAAAGAATATATGTGTAATGTCTGGGAAAATATCTGACTTTTAATAAAAAGTCAACAGAGCTATTATAAATTTAACATTTATTTCTAGCATAAAATGACTATATTTATTAGTTTATATAGTTACATGTTTTCAATATCATAAATGTATCTTTTATGTAATTATAATAAAAAAGACTCCTATAACTTTCTAAGTAACACATTTTTAATTACAGCTTATGAACTTTGGTTTAAGCAAATTCTCTGGGAATTAGATTCTGTTCGAGAGATCTTTCAAAATGGCCATGTAAGTGTCATGAAATTGGTTTTGTATACTTTTTAACATTTTTGGTTGATTGATTATTTTATATGTATGAGTGTTTCACCTACATGTATGTAAGTGCACCACTGTCGTGCAATGCCCACAGAGAACAGAAGATGCTGTTTTGCATTCCCTGGAACTGGAGCTACAGATAATGTTAGCTATCATGTGGGTGCTGAGAACTGAACCCAGGCCCACTGCAAGAGCAGCCAGTGATCTTAACTACTGAACCATCTCTCCAGCCCATTTCAAGTCAATTGTATAGAACTCAATGTTCTCTTTAAAAGGTGTAATAAATGATGGTAGATTTCCAGGCTAGACAACAAAGCTTCTATAGTAGATAACAAACCTGTATTTTTATTGAGTATTAGCTATTGAAAGGTAAGTGGAATCGTGATGGAAATGAAAATGAAAGAGAAAGAAGAGGTAGAATAATAGGAGGACACAACAGATGGAATAAAAGTCAGAGGACAAAGGACAAGAGGAGGCAGGGCAGAGCAGACTGGGTAGCAGAGGTTCAGCTGCACCCTACTGTCTCCAGCCTCTTCCCTCTTCCCAGGTCCACTCAGGACACTGTCTTAGGTTCTGTCTCTGAGCTTTTGTTCCAAGATCCACAGGCTGTACATGCATGTACACACATGCATTCATATATACACACAGACACAGACGCACGTGTGTGCATGCGCACACACACATGTGCACACACACATGCACACGGAGAAAGAGGGGAGGGGTAAGGACAGAAAGAGATGCTCTTATGAAGGTGAACACACACTTAGGTTTGCCAGTGGCACCTTTGGTTTTCAAGGAAGACTAGACTTAGCCAGGGGCTGCTCAATCCTTATACGGAAGACTCAATGTCACCTTGACCTTTCGTCTCTGAAACAAAACTTATATAGAAAATGGTTCTGAAATTAGTGGAAGCTGCTTTCCCAAATTTCTTTGACCTAGTGTCTGTATAGTTGTTTTATTTTTCAAAAAAGAAAATTCTGATTTTGTAGCTGTTTCTTGCCTGCCATTCAAAAGTGCTAATGCCCAATATATATTAATGGAAAATTTTATTTCCAAACTTTCTTGCTAAGATTCACATCAAACTGGTAGAAATGTGCTGTCATCCACAGTTTTTTCTGTATATTCTCACAATCAGAATTGACTGCTCAGGGTGTTCTTCCTACCCCACCAGGTCAGGGATGAGAGAAACATGCTCAAGGTAGTGACACGGATGCACCGTGTGGTGGTGATTCTCAAGCTCCTGGTACAGCAGTTCTCTGTGCTGGAAACAATGACGGCCTTGGACTTCAATGACTTCAGGTGTGTACTGAACAATTTAGAGGGCGATGGTGCTCACTGGTTCCTTCTGGTGTTGTAAGAGATTAACGTGTGTGTGGAATGACAAGAGGGGGCTGTTCCCTTGGCAGGTTAAGGACATTGAGGTCTTTAATCACAAAATAATTGAGAATTTGGTGAAAACATCTTATAACTCATTTTTACATAAAAGAACTAGTAAAATAGAATAATTTCAGTTCACTATTGTGTGTCTTGTTTCTTTCAACAAAAGATATTAAACATCAAACAAACAGCTTAAAATCTGAAAGTATAAGAAACAGAAGTGCAAGCTGTCACCAATGCCGTAGGTTATTATGAGCAGGGTCCCTGGAGCCTGGAAGACTCTATTTCCATATGGTCAGGCACCTCCTCCTTGGCTCTAACATCTTTCTGCCCCGTCTTCCCCACGCAAGCCGAAGAAGACAAAACCCCAGCATAGAACTGTGGAAACGGACAGCAGGCCCAATCTTAGCCAAAGAACTCTTCACAGCTGATCACTGCTGTGAGAAGAGCTAATCTTTAAGGAAGTGACTCTAGATAGGCTGACTGGACCCCAGTGGAATTTGCACTGAGGGATGTCTGGCAATACTAACTTGACTTGATAGGCCTTAACATAAATGACAGAATGCATGAAATACAGTTGGGGGGTATGAGAGGGTGCTGCTGGGGAAGGGGGTATAAAGATGATTAAGATGTTGGGTATGAAATACCAAAAAACTCAATAAATTATACAAAGAAAGAAACAGAACTGACATATAAAGAAGTATGTCACCCACATGTCAGTATTTACTTTGCACTGTGTCAACTTTTGCTCTAAAATTCCAAACAATCAAAGCCACATGTATAACTGTGTACTTATCTGTATCTGTTTTTGTTAAAAAGCACACGTGCAAGTTTTTTTCTTCTTACTAAAATTAGAGAAGAAATCTTTTCAAAAATTTATATTGGATACACAATATAGTGAAATATGCAGTCTCAAACCAGTTTTACAGTGAAAGAAAAATGGTAGAAATATAGGTGGTAGATTTTAAGAAATTAAAATATCAGCTTAGAGAAAGGCATTCAGGAAGATGAAAGAGTCCCAATGGTTTGCAGAGCAAGACTAGCAACATCTGCAGAGAAGAAATCTTTTCAAAAATTTATATTGGATACACAATATAGTGAAATATGCAGTCTCAAACCAGTTTTACAGTGAAAGAAAAATGGTAGAAATATAGGTGGTAGATTTTAAGAAATTAAAATCTCAGCTTAGAGAAAGGCATTCAGGAAGATGAAAGAGTCCCAATGGTTTGCAGAGCAAGACTAGCAACATCTGCGATGGCCTTTGTGCTAGCAGCATCTTATTTCTTTTACTTGCATTATCTCATTGATGCTCATAGTAATGCTAGCTATGAGATGCATGATGATATTCAAGAATATCACTTGTAAGCAGTATTAAACAACATTTGCATGCAATCTTTCACCAACCTCTGTGGAAAAAGCACCATTTTATATATCCACCTGTCTTTATTTTAGGACAAAAATTAAGGCCCGCATACACACATATACAACGTGTACATTTGTTCAATCTATGCTTATAGCAAGTTTGTGTAATGTGTAATATCTGTAAAGTAATATATACTAAAATATGTATCATACACATATTAGAATATATGTCATTTCCTAACTGTAGAAGCTATCTACCTTCAAACTGGTCAGCAGTGATGATGGTATTTAAGAAGCTCATTTCCCTTATTTAAATGAGGGCCTGATCCTCGGTGGAACTCTGGGTGGTGGTCCACTCCTGATGATGGTCTGACAACCCTTCGCTTTTGAGGACTCCATTACAGTGATATACAATGACAATTCGTCTCCTTTTTCTCCTCTTCCCTTCTGTTTCTTCTCAGGGAGTACTTATCTCCAGCATCAGGCTTCCAGAGTTTACAGTTCCGACTGCTAGAAAACAAGATAGGTGTTCTTCAGAGCTTGAGAGTCCCTTACAATAGAAGGCACTATCGCGATAACTTCAGAGGGGTGGATAACGAGGTGCTGCTGAAGTCCGAGCAGGAGCAGACTCTTCTGCAGCTAGTGGAGGTGTGCACTAGCCGACTGCCTCTCAGCGTCTGCTACTTCATAATTTTAATGTTCATGGCTCACATCAAAGTTGAGTTACATTCATGATAAATGAGGACAGAAAAAATCCTCAAAAATACTATACTAAATGAACTTCTTAAAATACTAAGAATATTGAGAAATTCAGCAAGATTTTTATAATAAGTTATATTTCAGGACTGGAAAAATGGCTCAGTGCTTAAGAGCTCTGTCTGTTCTTACAGAAGACTAGGGTTTGAATCCCATCAGTCGTTCCAAGGGATCCAATGCCCTCTACTGACCTCTCTGGGCATCGCATGATGCGGGTGCACTCACACACATGCAGGAAATAGACTCATACACATACAAAAGTAAACAAATTTTGAAAATAATTTCAATATTTATTAACATAATCTAGTTACATATTAAGCATTCCTACAAAGCAATATATAATTAATTGGGCCTTTTTTTTGGAAGGACTGTGGTTGACTATTCAATCAGTTTTATTTCTTCAAAATATAGTATAACTAAAAAATTTTACTTGGGTATTTTTATTACTGAAAGTAAATTACTAAGAATATTTTCTTCACAAAAGATTACCCTTCCTATTCAAAATCTGTAGGATTCTATAAATAATATTTAGGGATTACTCATTTAATTGTAAAAATGGATGCATGAATGTTATGCTTGCATGTATGTAAATGCACCCGTGTTATGTAGTGCCCTTGGAGGAGAGTTGTTAACTGCCATGTTGGTGTTGGGATTCGAACACAAGAGCAGGCAGTGCTGTAAACCGCTGAGGCATCTCTCCAGTCCCTAATTTGACTTTTTTTTTAAATGGTAGTTTGTGAAGTAATATTTGTAATGATTTTCATCACTAAGCCTTTTCCTTCCCATATTAAATTTCTCCTCTAGTGAATTATATTCTGTTTTTTAATCCCCTGGGTGTTGTGAATGTGAAGTTCGTTTACTATTGTCTACATATTATTGTAAAATTTGTAATAAATATAGAGAAAGGAAGGATAAAAAATCTAATTTCAAAACTAAATACAGACTAAATGAGAAACCATAGAAGTGCATAAGTTCCATTTATTTCTAGACTATTAGGTCTTTTGCTATCTTAAAATAATTGTATAGGAACCTAAAGTGATGTCTCAGTGATTACGAGCAGTTACTTCTAGTCCAGGGGACCCTAGTTCAGTTCCCAATACTGAGATAGGGTCCTTCACAACTGCCTATGACTCCAGCCCCCGGGAATCCAATGTCCTCAACAGGCACTGCAACAGGCCCATGCACAGCTGCACACATATATGCATAATTAAAAATAGCAATAAAGTGTTTAAAAATAATTGTCTGATTATTCAATTTTAAAGCTTCAAATTGATTTTTAACTTCGAAATTAAGATTATATCTGATGCATGTCACACTTTCTTTTTAAAATTTTTATTAATATTTTATATGTATAAGTGTTTTGCCTACATGTATGTAAGTGCACCATATTGTGCAATGTCCATACAGGCCAGAAGAGGACATCAGATCCTCTGTAACTAGAATTAAAAACAGGTGTCAGCTGCCATGTGGGTGCTGGGAATCCAACCTAGATCCTCTGTGAGGGCATCCAATGCTCTTCACCACAGAATCATCTTTCTATCCTCATGTTATATTTTCTTTAGTTCTTAAAACCATGTATTTTGAAAGAGAACCAAATGTCATTAAGACAATGATTGAATATGTTCATTGATTTCTAGGAGAAAATTGCTAATTTCAGCAGGATCTAGACAGTAAACTATTACTGATGGCTATCTTAAAGACTAAGAAGATGAAACATATCAACTGCTATTTCATAAATATAAAAAGGAAAGAAATATTTACAAATAAACTTTAACATATTTCTCACAATTATGAAGATTTTTTAAATTTATGATATTAGCTGTATGTTATATATTTTTAAAAATTTACCATGTATTTACCTAAATAATTATTTACTTAAGGCATGGCTAGAAAGAACACCTGGTTTAGAGCCACATGGATTTAACTTCTGGGGAAAGTTTGAAAAAAATATCATGAAAGGTCTGGAAGAGGAATTCCTACAGATTCAGGTAATTATTGCATTGTAACGTAAGTTGCTACACAAAGAATGAGAACTTTGATTCATAAATTGTCTGATGTGACAATTTTCCTTGCATTGTTTTTCTTTCATAAATGTGTCTTCTGGGATTACACGTTACATGACTGCCTTATTTTTCTTCATGTAGAATAATAATGATGCTAAATTAAGACCTATATAGGCAAAATTCTTACCTGTGATAAACAGCCAGGATTCATAGAAATTTTCATTCCTATTGAAAATTGAACATAGTGGTCAATTCTAGGCATAATTAGGCATGGAAGAGGGCAATCGGTCAAATATATGTAGCCACATCACTTTTCTTTTGCTCTTATTTCTGCTAGGTCCTTTCTGTTGACCATAGGCAATGTCAGCTTGCTCTTATGTAAAAGATGCTGTTGATCACTTATTTCCCTCAGACTACAGGTCTCTCACCCTTGCTGAAATCTGTGGCTCTATTTCTCCTAAGGGAAGCATTCTAAAGCAGCAATCTGTTGTCTACTCACAAGGATTAATGCAGTATTTTCCCTAAAGGCTAAAGAAGAGTCTGAAGAAAAAGAGGAACAGATGGCCGAATATCGGAAGCAGAAAGAGGTGTTACTGTCCTTATTTGATGAGAGACGCCATGACCATCTCCTCAGTAAAGGTAGATGTCGTGTCCTAAAAATCTTTTCCCTCTAATGTTAGCATAAGAAGAACAACAAAGTAATGTTATGAGCCTTTCAAGCCTAACTTGGGGGAAATGAAATAGGAATTGCTATTCTATTTATAGAAGCAAGAACTGGTAAGTGGCATCTCTGACAACCCTTAATTAACAAGGTTGTGAACCAGTGAATTTATAAGATGCTAGCAAAAAAACTTGCAGAGCAGATGCTTCTCATGAGGGATGCCAAGGAACATTTTTATTATAAAGTAACTCAAAACCTTTTAGGAAAGAAGCAGAAGTAGTTACTTTTTAATTATGAAACACAAAGTCTGGCAGTGATGAGATCAGCATTAAATTCTATGTGTTAACCATTGCTGAACTCCGTTTTCTAAAAATCCTCAGGAAACTATGACAAATCATTTTTTTTTCTGGAGAAAGAGGCAAAGTGTTTCATTAGTTTGCACACCACAATTTTATAAAATCATCGTGCCTTTTAAAACCAAGGAGATTAATTGTAAGTGTATTAGAGAAAACGGTTTGATTTCAAACAGAGTTTCAATATGTAGCAGTCTGTCCGTAAATCCATGATTCTCTTGCCTCAACTTCTGAGTACTAGGACTACAGATGTGTACCACTGCACTATGAAAAAAGAAACAAATCAAAACAACAGCAAAAATCTAACTACTTTCAAACAAGAATAAAATGATTCTTGTTTATTTTTTGAAAAGTGAATTATTATACTGCTTCAACTACAAAATACATTTATTTATTTTTTCTTTATATCATGATTTCCTAATAGAACACTTAACATGTTTGATGATTTAAAATATATGTATACAATATTATGTATATGTATATATATATATTTGCCTTTTAGAACCACAGGTTACTAAATTCAAACCAAATAATAAAAAAATTAAAACTAAAAAAAGTTAGATTATTTTTCCCAAAAAGCGCATAAGGCATTTAACTACTTAAGGTGATAATAGCAAATTATATGATTGTCCAAAATTACCTGTTGGATTCAAGCTTGCTGGAAACTGGGGATGTCATTCAGTGGTATAGTCCTATCCTACTATATCCAAGGTGTTGGAGTCAATGTTCAGCACCAAAGAAAAGAGAGACTAATGCTGAGAACTTTCTGTTCCTTCAGGTGAAAGGCGACTGTCCTACAGGGCTCTGCAGGGGGCACTGATGATTTATTTCTACAGGTAAAACCAAACATGAAGAAAAGAAATAGTTGTTAAAATTGAGGAGTAGATATAGAAAATATGTCAAGGATTCACTTTATAAATTATAATCATAAATTCATGCAATATTTTAGTTTTTGGAGAAAACAAAATAATGGCATTTTGAAAAGCTTTAAAATAAAAAGAGCATCACCTTGCCCTTATGTTGGACTATATATACACACACGCAAATTAACTTGTCTTAAATTATATGAAATATTTTATACCATTAAGTGTCCTAAAATGTCAATGTTTATTTTTCTTAGAAATTCAATTGTGAAATTATTATTTAATTAAAGAATAGCTACAGAAGACTTCCTGTTTAATAACATAAGAAGTGGGACCAACAAGATGGCTCAGAGGATAAAGGGGCTTGTTGCCAAGCCTGACAATCTGAGTTAGATCCCTGGGCTCCACATGATGGAAGGAAAGATCCAAGTCCCATAAAGTGTCTTTAATTTTTCAAATCCTCTCAAATCTGTTTGTTTGGAATTAAAAGGAACAAAACTTCTTCCTCTCAAAAGAAATAGATGCTACTCAAAACTTGTGTCCTATATAAAATACTGAGAAGCTTAAAGGGTTAGAGGGAAAATGTATCCAGGTGTGTCAGACGAGATAGAATTGGTTTTTCGTGTTTTATTATCTGCCCCCAAACTTTTGATTATTGTTAGCATTTTACTTAATTACTGTACATATTTTCCTTTAAATCATATGTTATCAGGCAAGCCTATGTCTGGTTACTTTATCCATAGCATATGGAACATTCTAGCCTTCATGCAAACACTGGACTACTGAATAGTAGTATTATCCCATTTTCTGAGGTAAAGAAACAGAGCCTCAAAGGATAAACCAAAGGTTGGACAGCTCCTGAGAGCTGAGTTGACAAGGGAACACACTGTGGAGCTCTGGCTTGCCTTGATGCACCAGGTGTGCTTAAACAGAGGGCGTTTCCTTACCTGCTTACCACCGTCTCCTTCAGGGAAGAGCCTCGTTTCCAGGTCCCTTTCCAGTTGCTGACCTTCCTCATGGACATAGACACACTCATGACCAAATGGAGATGTAAGTCCTCCTTTGCACCTCTTCCGTCCTGTTCCTTTGCCATAATGCTTTTTATGACTCAATAAAGTTTTCATTTAGTTTAGAATCAAAAGGAAGACTGAACTTTATATCAAGGAAAGCCCTTCAATATGTAATAGTGATATTTTCATCCTTAGGCCAATGGCTTTTAACCTAAATTTAGTTAATGTTTATTGGTGTATAAATAATGGGTTTAATTATGGTATTTTCATACTTATATTTTTGCACTTTCATTTTTAAGCTTTCATTTTTTATTTTTATTTTATGTGTATGTGTTTTTGTCTGCATGTGTGCAAGTATATCCATGAGTGGATGGATAGCCTGTGGAGGTCAGACAAAGGTATTGGATCCCCTGGAACTGGAGTTAGTGATGGTTGTTAACTGCCATTCGGGTGCCAGGAACTGAACCCTCTGGAAGAGCAGTCAGTGCCCTTAACCACTGAGCCATCTCTCCAGCCCCTTGGATGCTCCCTTCATATTCAGTCTATTACTACTGACCTCCTTTTTCCTTCTCCTTCCTTGCTTGTTCTCCCCCCCCCCCAGTTCTCCTTCTACTTTGAAGTGTGTATTATTAAACACAGGCCCAATGAGAGAAAACATGTAACCCTTTGTCTTCCTTACTCCTCCTGTACCCTACCTCTCCTTCCTCCTCTGACCTTGGCTTGACATGCTGAACATGCTGATCTCCAGGTTCATCTGTTACAATATAATTTCCATAGGCATTTCTATTTTTCACTGGAGAAAGGATCCCACAAATACACATCTGGGGAGGACTCATGAAAGTCATTATGTAGCCCCGTCTCCCCCTTGCTGTGCTCAGAAACTAAAAGCAATGGATGCATATAGCCTAAACCATGGGGATGCTAGGCAACCCGATGGTCTCATCTGGTACTTACATGTGACCTTTCCATCTGGCTAAGTGATAAGGTGTTAGCCTTTGCTGAAGCAATAATCATTACCAATCCTCCAGTTTTAGAACACTGTGGAACTAATGGCAGAAAAATATCCATGCAGTAAATTTGTGTGTTTGCCTAGATAACCATGTGTGCATGGTGCACAGGATGCTGGGCAGCAAAGCTGGCACTGGGGGATCCTCAGGCTATCATTACCTGCGTTCAACTGTGAGGTGAGTGGGGGCTTCATCATGGTGGAAGTCACCAGGTCTTGGTTTCTGTACATCTATGTGTGTCATCTAGCTAAAGCCATTTATATTTGCTCCTTTCATATCTGATGGTAGCACACTGTAGTTAGCTGGCAATTATTCCCCCTGAGCCCCTGGAGGTAATTGTATAAAACCCTAAATTATGGAAGTTCACCATTTTGATCGTATAATGAAAGGAGACTGTGTATCAATGATTTTCCAGCTGGCAATGCTATGGAGGAATTAATAGCCTTTGCACCCAGGAGAAAAAGTCTTTGACTCCTCAGGCTCATTTTTAACATATTTTATTTATGATTTTTATTTTTTTTTGTATGAGTGTTTTGCCTGCATATGTGTTAAGTGCACCCATGTTGCACAATGCCCACAGAGGTCAGAGGAGGGCGTCAGGCTCATTTTTAACATATTTATTTTTTATTTTTTATTTTTTTTGTATGAGTGTTTTGCCTGCATATGTGTTAAGTGCACCCATGTTGCACAATGCCCACAGAGGTCAGAGGAGGGCGTCAGAGTCCCCTGGAACTAGAGTTATGGATGGTTGTTAGCCACCATGTAGGTGCTGGGAATCCAATCTGGGTCCTCTGCAAGAGCAGGCAGTCTTCTTAACCACTGAGCCATCTCTCCAGGCCCCAGACTCATTTTTTTAAAATTGTTTGTTCCTTGACATTTTTGTACATGTATAAAATACATTCTGATTACTTTCGACCCTGTTCTTCCTCTTCTCTCACTCCCTTATCAACCATTTCTCTTGTCCATAAATCCTTTTTTCTGTATCCATATGCTTGCTTTATTTTGAAACCCAATGAGTTTAACTGTGGCCATCCTTGTGACCCTGGATTTGAAACTCTCCACTGTCGCTTGGTGGACTCACCAGTCATTATGTAACTGAAATCAATGATTCCCATTTCCCAGCATCTATCAGTGGCCACTAGTGTGTGGGTAGGGGCAGGACACCTTTGAGGCCCTCTCCCCTTTGTTGACAGGCCCATTTTGTGCAGGCTCAGTGTAGCTAAGGGCAGTTGCATTGAGTCCACGATTGGAATGCGTGTATCATGCCCAGAGGATGGCATTCCATAGCCCTTCTGCCTATTTTCCAGATCTTACATTCTTTCTAGGCTGTCTTCTGCAAAGTTCCTGAGCCTGAGCCTTAGAGGGGGTAGTATAAATGACTCGTTTATGATGTAGTTCAAGTTTTGATCAGACTAAAAGTGTCATCATTAATTTCTCTAAAGTCTTGGTCAGATGGATGACACAACTAAAAGAATTTCTTGTTTCACTATATACCTGTTTTTATTACAAAATTGTTTTCAACCAGTCGGTGGATGCCTTTTCTTAGTATCTATAAGGACAAAGGTCAATGTATATTTAGGACTTGAAACTTGCTAGCACAGCTTCTTGGACATTTGTGTTCTAATTTTATTTAATAGACAGAACATTATAGATAGAAGGATACATTAGGAAACTGGAAAACCTGGCTCCCTGGGAAAGAAGAATAAATTAATAATTTTCATATATTCAGTTAGGCCCCTAATTCTTTCTAGTACATGGCTTCCCTTGCTAACCTTATGACCAGAACGGATAACTAATAACATGCACAAGTTGAAATTCTTTTCTATTCATGTTTGCTTTCCTTGGGAATAAATTATTTATGCAAAAATTGGTCAATGATTTTCTGTACAAAATGAGCAGATACTGGGAGTAATAACACAAACAGAATTTCCAGTGCGTAGTTCTATGTCACTTAATCGGGACAAAGTCCTAGCCAGAGGGAGTATTGCAGTTTTTATTCTAATGAGTAGAAATTAGAACTTTGACTCTTAAACCTCTTAGCCAAGGCCTGATGTGTTGCAAGTGACTGAAACAGAATTCCAAACCAGATGTGGTTGACTTCAAAGACAATATTCTTCCTCTATAAAATTTTACCATCTAAAATACTTTTCTACTTAAAAACTATTTTAAATAGCTAACAGACATGAAAGCAATTTTAATATGAATACCACTCTATAGATATTTGTGATGAGTAAAAGATGATATTTCAATTTATAATCCTTCAATAAAAGGTACTTGGCAGCTATTTTGCAGCCAGGAGATATTTTCCAGTGAACAACTAAGAACTCATGTTTTAAATTTATGACTTTACATACCACCCTTTAAAAATAAGGACACTCCCTCATGTGCATGAAGACAGCATGACAATAACTGCTGTTGGTTTAATATAGGTCCCTTTGTTCTGAACCAAACACAATATGCTGTTTATGAGCATGACTCTTAGATGTGATTGAAAACTCAGCAATCTTAATACTAATACAACATAATGCCTAACATATATGTAATATAGACATCATATAAGATATAGTGCCAAATATTTATCATTTATTGGAGACATATAAGGAAACAATCTTGGGAGCAGCAAATTCTGCATATTTCAAACCACCAATCTAACACTTCTGTATGTACGTGTTTCCAGTGACCGGTACAAGGTATTTGTGGACTTATTTAACCTTTCAACATATCTGGTTCCCCGACACTGGATACCGAAGATGAACCCAATCGTTCACAGATTCCTTTATACAGCTGAACATTGTGACAGCTCTTACTTCAGCAGTGATGAATCTGAGTAACTTCATGTGAACATCAATGCAAAATGTGGATTTCTCGGTCTAGTCTTTATTTTCAAAATTTTCATGAATATATGGATTTTAGAGTAACATATTTATGTACATAGTTCAGTAACATGGTGTTCTGGTTCAATTATGGAAATAATTTATTACTTTGTATTTTGTGATGACATAAAAAGAATCCTACAATGAGAAATAATTCAATTAAATTTTAGCATTGTACAGTGTTTTCCTATTAAAAACTCAATTGTTCCTGATACTTTAATGGAACTAATTTTTATAATTATATCTTATTGTTTCATGCTTTCTAAACTTGTTATCCTAAAGTTGATTCAGATAGTATATGCAATAATATGTGCCATTCTAAACAAATTATCAAACTTTAAAGTAACAAATATAGTCTGTGGCTGTGTATTGTTTGTGAAACACTGTTAGGAATCTTCATGACTAGTTGCAGAAATCTAACTGAAGCTTTCCCAGAAGAAAGTTAAGGGCTGATTATTCCATTAGCTCTCAGAATTCAAAGGAGCTTGAGGACTACTGACTCCAAAGGAACCCAGTTCAGTTCCTAGAATATTTTATTCTTGAAAAATTTTGAAGGTGTTCTTACCGCTTCTGTGGCAAGGTTAGATGCAGTTTTCATGCTGTGGGCCACTCTTTTCCGTGGGCTGTGTCTCTGCATTCAGAAGGACAAAGGCGATCTTTATCCTGCTCAAAGGCCTGTAGGTTAGGAGGTAGTCACTGCTAGCACATAGAAGAATTGTCAAGGTACAATTAGTAGTTCCCCAAGGAGAAAATTCTTTCCAACAGAATGAATAGATCAATAATAGCAATACTATCCATTCCTAATACACATATTATACTAAGAGTTTAGATCAGACCCATATTTTAGTCTTCTTTTTCTATGGTGACAACATTTAGTTAAGTTCCTGGTATGGGAGAGGTACATAATATTAATGAAAGTAATCTAAAGTGTACATCAATTTTGAACTAGATAAAAGATCTCTAACAAGGAAGAACTACTTGATGGAAGTGGACCATTCATTGGTTTCTATCACAGCATCTTCCTCATAAGGATAATATTTAGCTGGTCTCTATGTTGCATGTAAAGTTACACCATCTGTGTCCTGGGGCTCTGCATTCGTGAATCTAATTAATTATCAATTTTGAATATATTAAAGAACAATTTGCACCTATATTTTACTTATCCATTTTCTTGGCAGTATTCTGTATATAATGTAACTATAAACATAGAGTGCATCTCATACTTTGTATTACAAGTATCCTAGAAATGAGTTAGAGTATAGGGAAGGGCATACATTGATTATATACAAATACTGTGGTATTTTACATAAAAGAATTGGGCGTTTATGGATTTTGCTATCTGTGTGGCTCCTGGAACTGGTGTTCAATGGGCATAGAGGGAAGGCTACAACTGCTGTCATCTACATTTCTCTGTCTCTGTGTGTGTGTGTGTGCATGCGCACGCCTAGTGTGTCTGTGTGTGCCTGTGTGCCTGCGTGCATGCGTGAGTTTGCTTATTCATGCTTGTGCATACATAGTATACAATGCTGGTTAAGCTGAAAAAACACAGAGGCAAATGCCATAGTGGCAGTACCTTGGAAATCAGCAAGCTAAAACAAATGCTTAGCTATCAACTGTCTACTGTGTTACAACTACCACTGAAAAACTAGTTTCCATCTACCTAGGGAGAACTTACTTTCCAAGTATCATCTCTCATGAAACAATGAAGAAGTATGTTAATAGATGTTATATCACCAAATGCCATGGGACCCTGGATAAATGCTATTTGTCAACGTTTATCTTTCTCTAATAGGCTACATGATTGATTAAGTTCTTTGCATCTATATTTCCTGGCATGACCAAATACCATTGCAAGGGTTTTTCTCTAAGGATGCAATAATTCTTTTTTTTTTTTTTAACTTTTACAAAACTTTAAACTGGAGAATTTCATACATGCTTATAAGGTGTTTTGATCAAATCCATGCCCACTCCTTCCCCTCCAACTCCTCCCATGTCTCCTCATCACTTTTTCCTGACAACTTCATGTACTCTTTCTTTCTTTTTTTCCACAAAGCTTTTTGCTTCTCTAACATTTC